TGGTGGCTACAGTGACTGCCACCGTGTGCCCCCAAGGCCAGGCTTGGAGAAGGCATGATACGATCCTCCCACTCCATTCCCAGCTGAGAGTCCAGTCTCTGTCCTCCCCCCTCCAAATACTTCACTGCCCTGAGGTCTATGCTGGGATCCTCCGTCCAGATGGAAAACAGATGTCCCCAGTCCCACACACTTGCTGGAGTTTACCCTCCCTGCCTCAGCTTGAAAAACACAGTCCAGGGACCAGCTGCTAGCGTAATGGCTATGTCGTTGGACTCCCATGTAGTCGACTGCAGTTTGGGTCCTGGACCCAGTGGCTTAAACTCACACCAGGTGCATGTGTGTGCGTGCCCAAGATCCTGAGAGGAGAATGGAGAAGGGATTGGGGCGTGGCTATCCCCCCTGGGGGGTGATTTCTTGCTTATTGTCTGTCATTCTTGTCTGTCTGTCTGTCTTTCTGGTGAGCGCACGCACCCAATAGCAAAAACCTCTCCGGAAAAAAGAAAAACACAGTCCACTGGGACACTGTCCTACTCCTCTGTGAGAAGGGGCAGCGGGGCTGGAGTGGCCCAGCAGCATGGAGGAACCTAGGGAAGGGGGTCACGGAACTGTCCAGGGGCAAGGCCCAGGGATGGCAGGCTAGGGCCATCACACCTACTACAGTCCCTTCAGGCCAAGAGACTGCCATCCCCTCCCCAATTCCAGAGGAGACGGGAAGTGAAAACAAAGGCAAAAGATCCATCCCTCACTTCCCAGAAGTGAGGACTGGGGTCAGTAGAAAGCAATTCTCAGCCCCAGGGAGACACTGCAACCAGGTCCGCACCCAAAGACAGGCCACTGTGTGAGCCTTTTCCCTGGTGTCTGATGCCAGCAGCCAGGTCCCTTGGTGTTTACAGATCCACAGGTTCCAGGGCCACCTTCTGCCTCCTGCCAACTCTGAAGCACAGCCCCAACCCCATCGAGGCCTCCACGCCCGAGTGGGGGCGAGGCAGGGGCTGGAATCTCAGTCTGAGTGAGCAGGGGAGTTCGGCCCCCAAGAACAGGGTCCTCTATGGTGCAGGCACCCCAGCACGAGGGCCATCCTGAGCCTGTATGCTTCCTGCGTGTGTTTTGCCTGGGAGCCCGACCCCCAGGACGGACTCCAGGGTGGAGACAGGAGACTGGAGCGTGAGCAGGGCTGGGGAAAGAGGGGTGGACGGTCCTAGGGTTCAGGCAGAGAGTGCGAGAGGCCCCCCTCCACCCCCCGCCCTTCCAGGGGCGGTGGCGCCGATGAGCTCATGGGGGCGGGGCGTCGGGAGCCCCGCCTTCGAATCCCCCTCAGTCCCAGAGAAGCTCGGTGGTCCCCTACAGTGGCTGGGGGGCAGACTGGGACCTTCCCCCGCTGACAGCGTCCCAGGTACAGCTTTGGGCCCGCACCCATCACCATCCCCAAGCGGGAATAGACTGGAGGCTCCCAGGTGTCCCGACCTGGCCGCGGGGTTGGGCCGCGAGGCGCGAAAGCCCCAAAGCCGGACTAGAAGCCTCCGGGTCCGTTATCTAGAGTCACTGCGGTCGCGCGCAACCCCCTACTCCACGCCTGGAGCCCACAGGTGGCCCGCAACTTCAGGCCGGCGCTGCGACCCCCTCGGCGGGGCCTAGCGCGCGCGGCCGCCGGGCCCGCCCCAGCCGGGGGGCGGCCCCGCCC